TGCTAGGAGCCAAAAAAAAAAAAAAAAAAACCAATGCTAATTAATACCATATCCCATTCATCATTATATTTTATCATAACTTTGCTAAAATTCTAAATCACTATCTCCGTAAGAAATTATATTTTATCATTTGGCAGTCAATAAATTCAAATTTTTCTGCTGCTTCTCCCAAAAACCAAAGGCTATTAGAAAAACAGCAGTGATTTTGCTAAAAAATTCTTATTAAACTTTGTAAACAGAAGGAGCAGATGCAGAGTTAATTCTAATATTAAGTCTAGCCTTCTACGCATGTTTTTATCACTCCACCCAATCCACATCCAATGCTATCAATCATTATCAAAACTTGACCTAAACTGACCAATAAAAATAATGTCCTATGTCCTCCCATGTCCTAATACAACCACTCCGGTGTGATCATCTTGTCTAAGATGAATTATGAGTATGCAGCTCCTTTAAAAGACAACTCAAAGAGTAAAAATGATTTAGGACAAAATCTGTAAGTTTCCTGCTCACTCAGAAGCAGCAAGCATCCTCCTTCATACCTTACACAGAGGCACAGGATGAGAGTGGCAAGGTGAAACCTATACCTAGGGTCACCAAGCACATGTCATGTGAAATTGTGTGCATGTGTGCACACTTCCATAGGGAATACTCTGAAAGATTTAAATGCCATTCATTCATTCTAACCTAATGACTTCTGACTGCTCTATGCCCTGGCTTGTCCTGACCCTATAAGTCCTCAGACACTATGATGGTCCAGCAGGACTTTTCCTGTCTAAAAGGCATAACTGGCATTGAGGCAAACCAGAGACAGGTCCATAATCAACTGGAAAAGTATGGAAAGATCTGTATTTCTCCAATGGCGTACTCCAAAGACACAGGTGCCTTAGGTGGAAAACAAATGAGTCAGAAACTAAACTCCATCCAGAGGAAGCTTGTGTACCCAGACTCCGCCCAGCTGCAGTGACTGCCGAGCATGGTTTCCTGCAGTTGTTTGGTGCTCACACCATTCCTGGCGCGCTTCCTCTGCCTAATCCTGCGCAAACGAGCATTCATCAGTTCCGCCCCCACGCTACCCATCTCCCCAGCACGGGACACAAACACCAGCACTCCGTTATTCCTACAGATGGGAATAAGACATTAAACAGGAAAAAAAAACATGGAGAATAAATACAGAAAATGCCATCCTCCTTTCCTAGGGGATCCTGTTGATAGGAAATACACAGGCACAGCAAAGGACTAAAGGCTGAGAGTACTGCATCACTGCTATTAATACTTGTGTAGATAAGTAAATTAGCTATTAAAATATCATGCCCTGGAGTTAACCAATTCTCCCTGCAGATTTCTCATCCATCATATTCACAATAATTTATTGGAAGCAAATTATACTCAATCAACTCTACATTTAATTTAGACAAACCCCATCTTACCCTTAAACC